TCCTCCTCCTCCTCCTCCTCCTCGTTCCCTCCTCATCTGGGCGCCAGCGCCAGCGCCCGGCTGGCGGGGTTCCGACCCCCAGGAAGATCGAAAACCTCAATGGGGAACGTCGAACCTCCATTTTCAGATCTCCGACGATGTGTTTTTGCTTCAATCCGAGCGTGTTTCCTCGATGTCGGCCTCCAGGGCCCGTTATTGTCGGTCCCTACGGCGATCAACACATGAGCGCGGGACGGAAGCCTGCCCCCCCCCCCCCCGGGGAGCGGTCGGGACAGGGGCCGAGCCCGCGAGAATATTGAAAACCTCATATCTCAAGAGTCGAGCGAATTTCAGTTGGGACCTCTGGTAAGACGAATCCAGGACGAGGATAGAATCGGGTGAGGATAGATCGAGAATCTCCACAAGGTCCAGCGGCTTGGGAGGATGTCTCGAGCGCCGCGGCCTTCGCAGAGCGTTCGGAAACGCCCTGGAACAGATTTATCCTCGTCCCAGCTCCGCCCGATCTGGGGCCGAGCCTGAGAGGATCGAAAACCCCATGTCTCGAGAAAGTCGAGCGGCTTTCGTTCCCACCTCCTTCCCTCTTCCCCCGGGGGCGGCGGCTCTCTCCCGGATCGCCTGCAGTGCAAGAGTGTCCATGCTCGCCGAGCAGGGTGGCGGGCGGAGGCCCAACCAGCCCTCGACGTCCTTCCGCCTCGGCGCCTTCCGAGGAGGCCTTCTCTCTCTCTCTCTCTCGCGTCCCCTCCTCGCTCGCCGCCGACGTGCTTCTGCTCGCCCTTGTCCGGGCGGTAGGTGCACGTCGGGCATCGACCTGAACAGTGCTCTTCCTTTTCGTTTTGTCCTCGCTGCCCCTCGTTTTGCCTTCAGACCGCCTTTGGTGCAGAAGGAAATCGAAACGAAAACCGCCCACGAAATCGCCCCAACGCCGTCTAGGTCGACGCCGTTCAGGTCGACCACTTCGACATAGACCCAACAACCAATGACAAATCATGACAACCCATACCCAACGCTACATCTGCGGGCTGACAAGGCACGCAAAAACGCATCGGGCCCCCAACAGGGCACGGAACATTGCAGGTCATCTTCGAAGCCTGTGCCTCCAATGGCCCTCCAGTAGGGGCCAAGATGACGTCACTCGTGTTGGCGAGTGCCGGGAACAAAAGGTGCACGTGCCCCCTCCCCCGGCGGAGGGCAGGCGTAGGCTCGAGCGTGCCGCATCGCCCCACGGCCCCTGCCCAGAGGATCGAAGACCTCCGGTTCCCAGGGCGCCGAGATCCCCCTCCCCCTCTCTTGGAGGGCGAGGAGCCTGCAGGAACGGCGGAACAGAAGTCGTCAGAGCCGTTATCTCTCCAGTGCAATGCTCTGGGGGAGGGGGGGGGGAAGGGACGGGGAGGGAGCTCGCGAGGCAGCGCACCTCTCCAGTCCGACCCGCCAGTCGCGCGCACCCGCGCAGGGCCAGAGTGGAGGTCGCAGTCCCAGCTGACGGGCGAGGGGGGGGCGCCAACGTTCGGGGCGGGCCCCACGTGCGGGGTGGGGGTGAATCCTCCTCCTCCTCCTCCTCCACCTCCTCCTCCTTCTCTTCTTCTACTTATTTTTTTTCTTCTTCCTCCTCCTCCTCCTCCTCATCCTCCTCCTCCTGGGAGATCGATATTCGGCGGCCTCGGCAGGCGGTGGTGCCTCTCCCCCCTTCCCCCAGGGCCCGAGTCTGTCCACTTCCACCGCGTGCCGAGGTCCCCGAAGATCGATCCCTCGAGCGGTGGTAGTGGATACCCCCCCGCCTCGGACAAAGGGACGGGCTGGGGCATCCGCGCAGTCGCTGCCGTTGGTCGCGCTCGGTTGCTGCCTGGCGGCCGCTCTTGCAGTTCGGGGGTCCAGGCTTGGGAATAAAACCTGCGTAGATCAACGGGCCCTCGTCTGCGCCGCTCTGCTTCCCCTGCTCCCCGCCATCACCCCACCAGGGGCCAGCTCGGCTCATGGCGCTCCAGCCGTCGACCACTATTGGGCTGTCCGAGGGCACGGCGATGTCACCCCACGGGGCGCAGTAGCCATGGCAGGGTGGCCAACTCTGCGGCCGGGAAGCTCTGCCGGCCATCCACTGTCCACTGCTACAGTCGGGCTGCTGACACAAGGAACGCCACACGCAGGGAACAAAGCTCCATTTTGGCCCCAGAAGCCTCCTCCTCCTCCTCCTCCTCCTCCTCCTTCTCCTCCTGTGGAAGGACCCGGGGAGCACCGAGCCCCCCTCCGAAGCAAAACTGCTCCCCTCTCAGCGTCGTGACCGTGCCCAGGGCAACTACCTTCGCGCTTCGCGCTCCGCGAAGCGCGGAACGCTATCATCTTCGCGTTTTTGTGCTGCCCGCCCCCCAGAGCAGGAGGAGGGACTCGCGTCTCGCTCTGGGATCGCCTGGGCCGCGAAGCGGGAGGCGCGACACACCTCGCACCCTCGAGGTGGCCCCAGCTCATTGCAGCGTCTTGACTCTACCCTGCAACCCTCCTCGCAACTTGCAGTGCGTTTTACCGCCCCCGCCCCCCGTGCCCCAAGTTTCAATGTTCAGTTGCGCGCGCGGCGCCGCCTGCGGGCGCCGACGAGCAACCTCACTCCGACGGCAGAACTCCACACGAGAATCTGTTCAGACTGCCTGGGGATCTGCTCTTGCCCCATCCCACCTCCTCGTCCTGCCCCCTCCTTCTCTTGCCTGGTCTTCTTCCTGCCTCATCATTCTGCCTCCTCCTCCTCCTGCTCCTTCTCCACCTCCTGCATCCTCTTCATCCTGTCTCCTCCCGCCCATGCCTCCTCCTCCTCCTCCTCCTCCGCCCCCGCCTCCGCCTCCTGCCTCCTCTTCATCCTGTCTCCTCCTCTCCATGCCTCCATCCTCCTCCTCCTCCTCCTCCTCCTCCTCTCCTCGTCTCTTCCTCCTCCTTCCTCCTCCCTCCTCTCCTGCTCCCCCTCCTACCTCTTGGTCCTCTTCCTCCTCCTCCTTCTCCTCCTCCTCCTCCTCCTCCTCTCCTGCTCCTCCCCCTGTTTCCTCCTCCTCCTCTCCTCCTCCTCCTCCTCCTCCTCCTCCTCCTCCTCCGCCTCCTGCATCCTCCTCCTGTCTTTTTTCCGCATCCGCCGCCTCCTCCTCCTCCTCGTCCTCCTCCTCCTCCTGCATTATCCTGCTGCCTCCTCCTCCCACTGTCTCCTCCTCCTCCTCCTGCCTCCTCCTCCTCCTCCTCCTTCCTCCTCCTCCTCCTCCTGCTGCCTACTGTTGCCTCCGGTTGCCTCCCGGAGCCTTCTGGGTCCTCCTGGGGCTCGCCTCCAATGGAAAACCCTTGAGCCTTCTAAGGGACTCCTGGTGGCTCTGGGGCTTCCTGGGGCTTTCCATTGCCCCCCGGTGCCTCTAGGGCCTCCTGGTAAGACAAAGCCAGGACGAGGATAGAATCGGGTGAGGATAACTCGAGAATCTCTGAGATCCAGCGGCTCTGGAGGATGTCTCGGGCGCCGCGGCCTTCGCAGAGCGTCCGGAACGCCCTGGAACATATGTATCCTCGTCCTAGCCCCGCCCGATCTGGGGCAGAGCCCGAGAGGATCGCAAACCTCATGTCTCAAGAAAGTCGAGCGGCTTTCGTTCCCCCCTCCATCCTTTTCCCAAGGGCGGCTCTTTCGGGAACGCCCTGAAACGGATTCATCCTCGTCCTAGCCCCGTCTGACCTGGGGCCTCCTGAAGCTTCGTGATTCGTCCTGAAGCCTCCTGAGCCTCCTGTGGCCTTCTGAAGCACTCCGAGGGCTTTCGCTCGAGCCTTCCTCGCACGTCAATCCTAGACGAGGCTCCCGTTTGAGACTTCATCTAGATTCAGGCCTCCGGAGACCACAAGTGATGGCAGCTGTAGGGTTCTGACACCCCGCTCGGATTCGAACAGGAAGGCAGGAGCCCCAGAGAGAGGGGCTCCGGCCGAGACTTCCTTCGAGCTCACTCACAGACGACGCCCCCGCTCGAGACCTCCTCCAGATTCAGGCCTGAGGAGCCCAAACGTGACGACCATTACATGATCTGGATGACCCCGCTCGGATTCGAACATGGACGTGGGCACCCACAGAGAGGGACTCCCGCCCGAGACGGCTCCCAGATTCGCTCGCAGACGAAGCTCCCGCTCGAGATTTCTCCCGGATTCGGGCCAGGGGAGCCCAACAGTGATGACAATTACAGGATCTGGATGACCCAAATTGGAATCCGACGTGGAGCCAGGGACCCCACAAGGAGGGGGCTCCCGCTCGAGAGTTTGTCTGATTCACTCACAGACGAGGCTCCCGCTCGAGACCTCATCCAGATTCAGGCCTGAGGAGCCCAAACGTGACGACAAGTATATGATCTGGATGACCCCGCTCGGATTCGAACATGGAGGCGGGGACCCCATATGGAGGCTCCCACTTGAGAGTTCCTCGCGAATCACTCACGGACGAGACTCCCACTCGAGACTTCCTCAAGATGAATGTGTGAACGAGCGTGTGCGTGTGTTTGCGTGTTTGCGCGATGATGTCAATCATGATCCGAACATTAATCGTAAAAACAAAAACACGAGTAGAAATACTGATAGACATAGTACGTGTAATAGCAATAGACATAATATCATAATGATATGAATAGTAGCGCTAGTAACAGAACATGAATCTTACTAGTACTATTACTAGCGATAATCATAATACTATGATTACTACGAATTCGCATATTAAGTATACGAGTAGCACGAAGAATTAAGACGACTAAAAAATAGTAATCATGGGACTAACAACATCAATAGCACCAATAATAGTAGTCACCAAACTAAAACAACAACGACACCACTACTCACAAAACTTACATGCTAATATTATTAACCGCCATTTGCATAGCACTAGTGCTAGCAACACTACTATGTATTATTACTCTGAATACAATCATCAGAGTGAGGGGGCTGAACCGAACGGCCATTCACTGTCCCTGGGTGCGTGGCTGAAGTGGAATTCCGCGATGCGGATTCGTGTTGTTGTTGTTGTTGTTGTTGTTGTTGTTGTTGTTGTTGTTGTTGTTGTTGTTGTTGTTGTTGTTCGTTGTTGTTGTTGTTGTTGTCGTCGTCCCACCCGCGACCCGCCCCGCGACCCACCCGCGACCCACCTCGCGACCCAACCGCGACGCGCCCCGCGACCCACCCCGCGACCCACCCCGCGACCCACCCGCGACCCACCCGCGACCCACCCGCGACACACCGGCGACCCACTCGCGACCCAACCGCGACCCACCCCGCAACCCACCCGCGACCCACCCGCGACCCACCCGCGACCCACCGCGACCCACCCGCGACCCACCCGCGACCCACCCCGCGACCCACCCAAAATTTTCGGCGCCTGCGGCGGGTTTCTGTTGCATTCGTTCCAGGTGGGGGGCCCGCGACCCACCCGCGACCCAAACTACGTTCACTGAACAAGCCAAAAATTCGGCGCCTGCGGCGGGTTTCTGTGCATTCGTTCCAGGTGGAGAACCTGCGAAACCCGCGACCCACCCGCGACCCACCCGCGACCCACCGCGACCCACCCGCGACCCACCCGCGACCCACCCCGCGACCCACCCAAAATTTTCGGCGCCTGCGGCGGGTTTCTGTTGCATTCGTTCCAGGTGGGGGGCCCGCGACCCACCCGCGACCCAAACTACGTTCACTGAACAAGCCAAAAATTCGGCGCCTGCGGCGGGCTGCTTTTGGATTCGTTCCGGGTGGCCCACCAGCGATCCCCACGGCCCTCGGTTTTCCCACGGAAGCCCCGCGAGGAAGAGGAGGAGGAACGGGAGGAGGAGGAGGAGGAGGAGGAGGAGGAGGGCGCCATCGACAGGGAAGGTGAGGGCCACGAGGCCCGCCGGCTCGACGCCCGCGTCGCCCGCGCCCGCCCCCTCACTCTTATCCGCAATTGCGGGGTGCTACGTACACACAATACGGATACGAACCCTGTACTACGAGTCATACTACTACGAGTTATGTTAACACTAACAGTAACAACACTAGCAATGACAATACTGATACTAAGCTAATGATGATGAAGAAGATGATGCTGATGATGGTGGTGATGATGTGAATGTTGATGTTGCATATGCTGATGATGCTCATGATGATGCTGATGACGATGCTGATGGTGATGCTGATGATGAGGATGATGAGGATGATGAGGATGACGCTGACGACGACGACGACAAGGAGGAAGAGAAGGAGAAGGAGGAGGAGGATAATGATCAGTGTGGAAAGCAACTGACGATGGTGATGATGAAGATGAGGATGGTGATGGTGATATCAGGTGCGAAAGGAGGAAGGGATGACAGAGGGGGTGAGGTGTTCTCCTGCGCGGGGGTGTCCAGAGAAAACAAACACCACACCCCGGATGTAGTGGGGAGGGGGAAGTGTCCTCAGTTCTTGCACCAACCGTTCAGGAAATCGGAATCTGGCGGCGCCGACGCTGCGCAAAGAAACCTGCTCCACGCTTCGCGGAGGGACGTGGGACGTGGCCGCTCCGGGCCGCTCCTCCTGCTGCGTGCCCTCGCCCTCCTCCCCGCCGCGCCCCTCCGGCTCGGGCTGCCCGTCCCCCGTCCCGGCTGCCTCTGCCTGCTGCTCCCGCCTCCTCCTCTTCTCGCCGTTCCTGTCCTGGCTGGCTCCTGCAGCAGCGTTCCAAGGGCAGGCTGGAGCCAGCGGCCGGGCGGCCCTCTCGTCTTCAGCGCCGCGCCCCCGCCTGCTCGTCGCCGCGGGAGCATCAGGCCTGGATGGTGGTCCGTCGAGGCGAGCCTCGCCAGCGTCGAGCGCAGCAGCAGGGCCAATCAAGAGGCCCTGGTCGTTGACGCCAGGGTTCTGGGAGGGTGAGGACGGCTCTGTGATGATTTGTTCTCCCCCACACACGCATACAAAAAACCCGGTGAGAAGAGGTTCGCGGCCGCGGACCCGCGGGTGGGCGCGCGCGGCCAGTGCGGCCCTGCCCCGCTCACTTTCCGTTCTTCCGCTGGATGTAGCACGCGATGTGGAAGAAGAAGGACATCGGCAGGAAGAGGGACTCCACGATGTAGGACACGTTGAAGTTGAGGCCGGAGTCCACCCTGGGGAACTGCGGGTCGAAGTACAGGAACTGGAGGTTGCCGTACAAGCCGATGCCGAAGAACAGCATGGACAGGTACATGAGCTCGTTGGAGCTGAACGTCTTCAGGTTGCCCGTGACATTGCTCGTCATCTTGCCGTTCTTGTAGAGCGGGTTGCCCGGGTAGTCGGGGCGTGCGCCCTGCGCCTTCTCCCTGTGTGCGTACATGGGGCCCTTGAGGTACTCGGTGGTGTAGTCCAGGTACACCTGCTCGAAGAGCTTGGCGTCGACCGCGGACTCCGTGTACTTGCCCTCGGCCCTCCTGTGGGCATGAAGCAGGCAGGCCCGGAAGGCAACGCGTCCAGGACCCCCGGGACCAGCTCCCCATCCTGAGTCGCGAAGGGCCCCCCGGAGGCCGAACAGCGGCGAACGAAAAATCAGGACCCGTCTCCCTTGGGACACCTTTTCTTAGGTCGGGCATGTCCTGCTACAGGCGGATGCGGGACGAAGAAAAATGATACCAGGAAAAGCCCCTATCAAAGTCACTGTAGGGCTATGGGGCTATGGGGCTATTGGGCTATAGGGCGATGGGGCTATGGGCTATAGGGCTATGGAGCTATAGGGCTATAGAGCCATAGGCCTATAGTTCTGTAGGGCTACAGGGCTACATGACTATAGGGCCTAGGGCTATAGGGCTGTAGGGCTATGGGGCAATAGGCATATAGAGCTACAGAGCTATAGGGTTATAGGGCTATAGGGCTAGAAGGCTACACGGCTATAGTGCAATAGGGGTATAGGGCTATAGCGACGTAGGGCTATTAGGCTGTTGGGCTGTAGGACTGCAGGGCTATAGGGCTATGGAGCTCTGGAGCTATAGGGCCATAGGGATATGACTATCTAGGGCTTCAGGGCTGTAGGGCTATAGGGCAATAGGGATATAGGACTATAGGGCTACTGAGCTATAGGGCTATAGGGCTAGAAGGCTACAGGGCTATAGTGCAATAAGGGTATAGGGCTAGAGCGCTGTAGGGCTATTGGGCTATTGGGCTGTAGGGCTGTAGGGCTATAGGGCTATAGGGCTATGGGGCTATGGAGCGAGCTCTGGGGCTATGGGGTTATAGGGCCATAGGGATACGAGGATATAGGGCTATAGGGCTGTAGGGCTATAGGGCAATAGGGATATAGGGCTATCGGGCTATAGGGCTATTGATCTATAGGGCTATAGGGCTATGGGGTTACAGGGCTATCGGGCTATAGCCCCATAGGGCTCTAGGGTTCTAGGGCTATAAGGCTATAAGGCTGTAGGGCTATAGGGCTATTGGGCACTAGGGCTATTGGGCTACGAGGCTACAGGGCTATAAAGCTAAAGGGCTACAGGGCTAAAAAGCACCCGGGCAGGCCGCGGAAATCGGTGGCAAACCTCACCTAACCATATTCATCCGATAGGACCCCTACAGAGGCAAGCTCTGATTGGAAAGGCGGATTTTGGACGAAAAATAAAAACTGTCAAAACATATACACCTAACATGCTCCAAAATCGTCAAACAAAAACGTCCCCATACCGTTTTCGTGTTATTTTTGAGTCTTCCTCCTGTAGAGGGACATGCCTGACGTAAACGTTTTCCTCCGTGGGCGCTCCTGGCGGTGCGGCCGCACATGGCCGCCGCGAGCCCGGCGTGCGCGCCGATGAGCGCGACTGCGGCGGCCGCGCCGAAGCTCCTGGGCTCCTGGGGCTCCTGGGCGGCGCCGGCGCGGCCGATCGGCAGGGCTCCCGCGCGGGCGGCGAGGCCGCCGCCAGGGAGCACAAACGCCGCGGAGGCGCAGCCCACGGCGGCCGCAGCCGCGGCGGCGCAGAGTGTCTGCCGAGCAGCGGGCAGCATGGCGGGGGGAGCTTGACGGAGCCCGGCGAGGCGTTTGAGGCCTCTGGTGGAGTTCGCGGCGTGAGCCAAAACGACTGCGGGCGGGGGGGGGAGGAGAGGGGGGAGGAGGAGGGCGGATGAGGAGGGCGGAGTGGAGGGCGAGGAGGGAGAGGAGGCGAGGAGGACGGGGGCAAGCATGAGGAGAAGGTGGGGCCGAGGAGACGGAGGAGAAGGAGGCAGCTGAGGAAGGAAGAGGTGGAGAGGATGATGCCAGGAGGAGGGCGCGGCCATCGGCAGCCAAACGCCCCGCACATAGTTTTGTCTTGTCCACCGAGCCTGTGCGTACTGTCATCCGCGTGGCCGTCTGGGCGATCCAGTGCGCAACAATCGGACCTGGTGCGACTGCGCTCCAGTCGTGGAGTGCAAGCGCACGAAGACTGCTCCCGAGAGCAAAAAGACATAACATACGCGATGCACGCTGGGCTGCGAAGCCAACCTTCTCCTCGTCGGTCAGGGGTCACGCACCTTGGGCTGCCAGCGCCGAGGTCGAGGACGCTGATCGGCAGCACCCGAGTCAGCGTCGCCGCCCCCGCCTCTCGCCGCGGGCCTGTCCTTCGCCTTGTCCTTCTGGCCCTTCTCGCCCTTGCCCTTCTCGCCCCTGTCGCCCTTCCCCTTGCCATTCTCGCCCTTCTCGCCCTTCTCGCCCTTCCCCTTGCCCTTCTCGCCCTTGCCCTTCCCCTTGCCCGCGCCCTTCCCCTTGCCGGTCCGCTGCGCTGTGGGCGGGAGCACCTCTGCGGGGCCGCTGGGCAGCTCCTCGCCGAGCTTCTCCTCGAGCCTCCTCAAAGGGGCCCAAGATTCCTCCTATTTTCCCATCTTTTCTGGGTTTGCGTCTTCCCCCCCACTTCCCATGTTTTCTCATGTCTTCCTGGGAGTCGACGATGAATTTTGTCTGTGTGACTTTTCCCCTCCTGACTCCTCTTGAGCTGCTGGAGGATCCTGATCGAGGCGAGCTTCTGTGGCGACAGCTTGTCCCAGTAGATGCCAGTAGGCTTTGGCAGCTTCCGGTCCACACGGATGGTCCTCGTCGGGGTGCAGATGATGTCGACGGGCACGTCGTGGCAGAGCATCCGCTCCGCGGGGATGTCGTCCACCAGCTGGCAGTCGTGGATGCATGTCACCACTGGCGTGTCGTCGTCGATCGCCTCCATCACGCGGAGCATCCCGTACTCCAGCTCCGCGAAGCCCTCGCCCTTGCCGAGCCTGCCACCGTGGGCCGCGCTGACGGCCACGGAGCCGATGACTATCAGATCCACCTTGATCTTGGCGTCGAGGTCTACGGGCGCGGTGAGGCTTCGGGCTGCGCGCGGACGGCGCCCCAGGCAGCCCCCTGGCTGGCCTCGAGGGGCTCCCCGAGCAGCCCAAGGCGATTGTTCGGCACCCTGCCTGGAGCGCTGAGCTCATCGGGGGGCCCGCTGAGGCCAGCTTGAGGTCGGGCATGTCCCCCTACGGGCGGATTCTGGGCGAAAAATGAAAATGCCCCCCCGAAATTCCCCAAAAAACAATCAAAAGATGACCAACAAATCGTCCCCAGGCTATGTTGCTACTATGTTTAAATGTCCCCCCTGTAGAGGGGCACGCCCGATTTAAGGCCAGCGCTGGAACTGCCCCGGGGGGGCTCTGCGCTCGCAGCCCGAAGCCTCACCACCATGGGCTCCCCGTAGTCCACCACGCCCTGCTGGGTGCACGCGTACACGATGGGCCTGTTTTCCACCACCACAGCCATAGGTAGAAGAGGGAGGGGGTCCTCCTCCTCCTCCTCCTCCTCCTCCTCCTCCTCCTCCTCCTCCACCTTCTCCTCGTCCTTCTCCTCCTCCTCATCCTCCTTCTCCTCCTCCTCCTCCTTCTCCTTTCCCCTCCAATGTATGGTGGTGGTGGTGGAAAACAAGCCCATCAGTATAGGTACTTGCTCGGCTCGATCTTCCCCGGGTCCAGGACGCTGAAGAAGCCCGTGCGCAGCCGCGGCTGCGGCACGAGCAGCATCTTGCCAGCCCGGAGCACCGCTGCGCGCACCTCCTTCTGGGGCGAGTCTGGGTTCACCTTCACCCACCTGGCCCTCTGAAACTCCGGAAGCAGCTCCACCTGCCTGGCGGTCAGCTCGGCCCCCACGAAGTTCGGGATCCTGTTGCCCACAGATCTGGTGTCGTGATTTTTTCAATGTGCGGGAACCCCGGAAGTCCTGACCGGTTCCTGCAGGACTGGTTTTTCATCCTGGATATTTGTTTGACGGTCCTGGGGTCCGGCGAGGGCCCGTAGAGGCCGAAAACCACGAAAAAACCTCCGTCTTGATTTTTTCAATGCGTTGGATCTCTGGGGCCCGGCGAGGGCCCCTAGAGACCGAAAACTGCGAAAAATCTCCGTCTTGATTTTTTCAATGCGTTGGATCTCTGAGGCCATGCGAGGGCCCCTAGAGGCCGAAAACTGCGAAAAACCTCCGTCTTGATTTTTTCAATAATTGCGTTGGATCTCTGGGTGCCCACCACGAGGGAGGCGGGCCCCGGAGGAGGAGCGGACCCTGGACCCCGCGAGGCTTCCACTGGGCCCAGCCCTTCCTCCCGAGAGCTGCCTGTTGCCAGTCGTTCAGGGCCCAGGAAGGGCCCTGGGCGCCCAGGAGCGGGGAGAATCCTCTCGGGGGGGCCCCCATTCTTTTGCTTCCTGCCGGCCTGTGGTGCACCGGCCGCGGGTTGGCCGCGAGGTCGTTCTCCTCCAGGTAGTCCCACACGCGCTTGCGGATCGCCCACTTCCACGCCCCGCGGTCGCCGGTCTCGCCCGGAGGTCGGCCAGCCACCCAGAGGGCCAGGTGGGGCCCAGGAACGGCCGGGCCTCCCTCCCACCTCCCCCCAGACCTCCAGCGTCCTGGCCCTCTGGCGGCATCGGCCCCAAACAACTGGCCTCGAACTTATCCCTGCCCCTAAGATCGACAAGCCCAAGGCGAAGGCACTCTTCGGGACATGGCCTCAGAAACTGAGGGAACCCTCAGGATCGGCACCGAGGCAAGGTGCTGCCAAGGCACAGGGGTGGGGATGTGATGCAAGCCGGCAGCCGAAGCTCCCGGCCCCTCTGCAGGGCCCCCGGGAGCCGTTCGGCCTCGAGGTCCGCACCCGCAGGGCGCGGTGGTCCGCGGGGCTTCGCAGGGCGGCCGCGGCCCGCGGTGCGGCTGCGGCCGCGGGGGCTCGCTCGAGGAACTGGCGACCTCCAGGCAGCACGAGACTCCGGGACTGGTCCCTCCCGGCGCGGGTGGTTTTGGCCTCGGCGGCCCGAGGGGCTCCGGAGTGGCGGGGCGAGGAGGAGGGGAGAAGCCACTGGTGGGGGGTCCAGTCGGGTCTGGGCCAGAGAAGCATCCCTCGAGAACATGAGACCCTCCGTCGGCCCAAACAAGCAGAACATCCGAGGGTATCCTCCCCAGGGTGCTCAAGAACATCCAACAAACACGGAGAACACTAGCGCACCCTCCCCGAACCCACCTCGATCTTCCACCTCAGTCCGACTGTAGGGGGGGGCCCAGGGGTTGCGACCCAGCCACCTCCGGGCAGAGCACCCCTCCCTGGGAAAAGCTTTCCCCTTCGATTCCTTGCCTCCCAGACGCCTCGGGCTCCCCCTTCGGACAAGGGTCGGCGGCACCGGCCGCAAGGCCTTCACAATAGAGGAGGAGACAACTGCGTATAAGCGTAAACTTTCGACACCGGCGCTGGCTCCTGACACCGCGAGGATCGTTCAACCTTGAACCATCGGGCGGTTCCGCAACGTCAGCTCGTTCAACATTGGGCAAGCGCGTTCCACTATTCGCAAAGTAACTACTCGCAAAGAGCCTTGATCCACCGCGGGGGATTTACGATACATCACGTCGAGGAAGACCTGTATTTTTCGGACGTTTGCGAATAGGCACTTTGCGAGTAGTGGAACGCGCTCGATGACACATCGACCGATTCTGGGTCGCCGGCGGCGTTCCACGTGGGACGCCAGCCGCGGGGTCGCCGCCGGTCGAGGCGACGCGAAGCTGCCGCAAGAGCATAGCAACTTCCGGAGCTCCGCGCGGGCTTCGTGGATCGGCCCCGGGCAGGTGCAAGAAGTCTTCGGTGGCAGCTCATCGGTTGGGACATCTGTGGGGACATCGGCAAGCCGAAAAAGCGGACCCCACCCCACAAAAAACATCAAAAACAAAAGGAAAGCTCCTAACTATTTATTGCATCCAGGGCACGCGCAATTCTCACGCCCTGTTCGGTGGCAACTCACGGGAGCCTCCCATTCCATCTTGTCGGCTCGTGCGAATCGACGCTAGTCGACGCTAAGTTCCGCGCGAAACTCCGAACATTTATGTTTATGCTGCTTTCTCCGCCGCCGTGCTGCTGCGCGCGACGTCCGGAGGTCGGGGGGGGGAGCCACCCTGGTGCGGCCCACGGAGGGCCAACCGGGGCACCTGCTAATCAGGCAGCCACGTGTGAACCCTACCCCGGCTGGTCAGATGTCTGAAACGCCGGGTGGGCTTCAGAATTCGGAGGATGTCTGCAGCCAGGTGACCGCTAGCGGGGGTGTCCGATACCCCAGCGTCGATTGGACCCGCAGGGGTAGGGTTCGCAAGTGGTTGCAGACCCTTGCCGCCGTCGATCGAAGCTCTCGTCGAGGAAGAAGAGACCCTGCTCTCCGAAAGCCTCCCGAAGCGTTCCGAAGACCTGCCGGAGTCTCCGAGGCAGAGGGCAAGCTGCGCGAGCGTCAACTCTTTCGAGGGCCCACGGACAAATTCTTGGGTGGGGCGCTGACCCCCACTGTACACCGGCACCCCTTCTCCGGCGCGCGGAGCGCGCCGGGGCTGGCGCCGGAGACGCCGCCAGTGATTAGGCATAAAAGGACCTCTAACCGTTTGGGAGGCGCCCAAATTTACGAGGGTCAGAAACATTCCCCAATCAGAGCTTGCCTCTGTAGGGGTCCTAGCGGATATAAAGCTGAGGTGAGGTGAGCGGCCGATTTCGGTGGCCGGGGCCGGGTGCCCGGGTGCCCGGGGGTTCCCGGGGGTGCCCGGGTGCCCAGGTGTGTGGCCGATTTCGGTGGCCGGGGCTGGGTGCCCGGATGCCCGGGGGTGCCCGGGGGTGCCCGGGTGCCCAGGGGTGCCCGGGTGCCCAGGGTGCCCAGAAGTGCCCGGGGGTGCCTAGCCCAATAGCCCTATATCCCTATAGCCCAATAGCCCAATCGCCATATATCCCTATAGCACTATAACCCTATAGCCCTATAGCCGTACCTATACGACCACCCTTCGGGTGATAAGGAGGTTCGGGGGGGGGAACCAACGTCTCACTCGATCGGTCTCACTATCGATCTCAGTATCGATCTCACTATCGGTCTCGCTCGATCGATCTCACTCGATCGATCTCACAATCGATCTCACTCGATCTATCTCATTCGATCGATCTCACAATTGATCTCACAATCGATCTCACAATCGATCACACAATCGATCTCACATTCGGTCTCAATATCGATCTCACTATCGATATCACAATCGCTCTCACAATCAACGTCATCATCATCATCATCAACATCATCATCAACATCATCAACATCAACATCAACACCAACATCGTCATCATCATGAGGGCACCGTCATCATCATCATAAACATCATCATCAACGTCAGCATCATCATCGGGACAACATCACCATCATCATCACCATCGTCATCTCATCATCAACATCATCATCAGCATCATCATCGGGACACAGTCATCGTCATCATCATCAGCAGCATCATCATAATCATCATCATAATCGGGACACCATCACGATCACCATCGTTCTCATCATCAACATTATCATCAACATCGTCATCTTCCTCGGGACACCATCATCATCATGATCATCGCATCGTCATCATCGACATCATCATCATCAACAACATCATCATCATTGGGGCACCATCATCATCATGAGCAACATCATCATCAACATCGTCATTATCATTATTATCATCATCGGGACGCCATCAGCATCACCATCATCATCATCACCATCATCATCAGCATCATCATCGGGACACCATAATCATCATCATCATCATCATCATCATCATCATCATCATCATCATCATCATCATCATCATCAACATCATTATCGCCGGGACACCATTTCCATCAACATCGTCATCACCAACATCATCGGAACCATCATCATCATCATCATCATCATCATCATCATCATCATCATCATCATCATCACCGGGACACCATCATCGTCATCATCATCAACATAATCATCATCAACATCATCATCCTCATCATCGGGACACTATCATCATCATCATCGACACCATCATCAACATCATCATCTTCATCGGGACACCATCATCATCATCATCATCATCATCATCATCATCATCATCTCATCATTATCATTATCATCATTATCATCATCATCATCATATTCATATTCATACTCATCATCATCATCATCATCATCATCATCATCATCATCATCATCATCATCATCATCATCCTCATCCTCATCCTCATCCTCATCCTCATCCTCATCCTCATCCTCATCCTCATCCTCATCTCATCATCATCATCCTCGCGGGACACCGCGGGACACCGGCGGGACACCACGGGACACCGCGGGACACCGCGGGACACCGCGGGACACCGCGGGACACCGGCGGGACACCGCGGGGCCCCGCGCCCCGGATGAGAAACATTTGGTCCAGCCGCGCCTCAGCCACAGGAGGACACCGCGGGACACCGGCGGGACACCACGGGGCCCCGCGCCCCGGAAAAGAAACATTTGGTCCGGCCGCGCCTCAGCCACAGGAGACTTTTCTCGCCCGCCCACGCAGCTTCGCCTCGCACGCACGGCACGCACGAACACGAAACCGAAACCGATTTCCTGGTGGGGGGCTCGCCGTTCCACTTCGATCTCACCCCCTCACCTCCGATAGCCCTATAGCCCAATAGCCCAATAGCCCAATAGCCCCACATCCCCATAGCCCCATTGCCCTATAACCCTATAGCCCTATAGCCCTATAGCCCTGTAGCCCTATAGCCCTATGGTCCTAAAGCCCTATAGCCGTATATAGCCCTATAGCCCGAATAGCCTTATAGCCCTATATCCCTATAGCCCTATAGCCCTGTAGCCCTATAGCCCCATAGCCCTAAAGGCTTCTAGCCCTATATCCCTATGGCCACATCGCCCTATAGCCCTATAGCCCCATGGCCCAAAGCCCTAAAGCCCCATAGCCCCCCCCAAATTCTGATTGGGTTTTTCTCTGGTATCATTAGGGATAAAGGGGTCTTTTTCTACAGATGTTTCGAATCAAACCGCCCAGATTTAGGATCCTAATGCAGGGGCGGGGCCCGGAGTGAGGTCACGTCTCCACTCTGCTGTTAGGGTTAGGGGGTTCTTCTACCCTCGAAGAGGGTGTGGCGAGGGGGGGCCCAGCCACAGCCCAGGACACCCGCCCAGGCCTCCGTAAGCTCAGGCCTGCGGCGTGGAGCTTCTGCTCCGCGTGCCGCGGCGGCGGCGCACGGCGACGCGCTGCGCCCTGCAAGCAGACGGCGTGCCGCTCCGATCCGCGGGGCGGGGAGGCGGGGAAAGGCCGGGAGAGGCGCTGGGCTCAGGCCGTGCCCTAGATCGGGGGTTGTCGGCGGACCACCTCGCCGTCGTCGTCGTCGTCGACGACGACGACGACGACGTCGCCGCTTCGTCGCCGCCGCCGCCGTCGGAGGGCGGGCCGCCGCGAGGCACGCGGAGCGAGCATTCCCGTGAGGGGAGGGCAAAGGGAGACGACGGCGGCCCTCCCACCTGGCCCACATTCGCTCACAATCCCCAGGCCCTGCTCGCCTCGTCCTGCTCCTATTCATTTCCCCCCTTTCCCCCTCCTCCTCCTCCTCCTCCTCCTTTCCTCCTCTTCCTCCTCTTCCTCCTCCTCCTGTTCCCCTCCTCTCCTCCTCCTCCTCCTCCTCCTCCTCCTCCTCCCCTCCTCCTCCCCTCCGTCCTC